TGTGACTGAGTCCCGAACTAGGGAGAACCCAGACAGGAAATGTCTGATGCCAGGTTCAGAGTGGGCACGGTCAGCTGAGGTCATGTGTGGACAGGGCACTGGATGACGGCCTGATGCCCCGGGAAGAGGACTGGCTTGGAAGATTGTTGTTCAGTCGTGACCCCGTTTGGGGTTTTCTTGGCAGAGAGACTGGACTGGTTTGCCATTTCCTTCTCCAGCTCATTTTATAGGGGAGGAAACTGAGGCAAACAGGGTGAAGTGACTTGCCCAGGGTCACACAGCTAGTAAGCATCTGAGGCCAGTCCCTGTTCTGTGTACTGTGGCACCACTTAGGTGTCCTGAAGCCCAAGGACAAGGGTTCAAATCCTGCCACTGCCACACTTGGCTGTGTGATCTTGAATAAGTCATTTCTCCAGTGTTAGCCTTAGTTTACTGCCCTGTAAAACAAAGGTCTCATTGCTCTCTAAAAGCCCTTCTAGCTCTGATTCTATCAGGGGGCATCACACGATGGTGGAAGGAGGATTGGATTTGGAATCAGAAGGCCAGGGTCCAAATCCTAGCTTAAATGACCTTGTGAACATCATTGAGCTTCTCTGTGGGCCTCAGTTCCCTCATCTGTAAAATGGAGGCGTTAGACGCAATGACCCTTCTGGCTCTACATGACGCCATGATGATAACGTGGGCCTGGAAGACTAGTCCCTTGAGAGCGGCCAGCACCTGGTGCAGGGCTGTTGGAAGCTTCTCCCGACTCCTACTCTTCCCTCTTCCCCTCCCCCCCAAAAAAGAAATGAGTTTTAGCTCAGTGGTGCGTTCCAAAAGGTGCTTGGCCCGCCGGTCTGTCACATATCTGACGCCCCAGCCCGCCCCTGCCCGCCCCTCCCCGCCCCCGGTGCGTCTCTGTGCCTTTCTGACGCTTCCCCATGTCAGGGCATTGGCAGCCAGCGGCATCCACCACCCAGAGAGGTTGACACAAGGGCTGCATTTAGTCCCCTCTTTCTATTTTTATTCCTTTTTGGCCCCCTGAGATTCAGGCCTGGTGCCCCTGGCCCTGTGCTCACACACGTGCTCTGCTCCTGGGCACCAGCTAAGAGGCCCAGGAGACCCAGCCCTGAGCCCGCAGCCGCCTCAGTCTGCTTCATGATGGAGCCCAGAAAAGCGACGGCGAGGCCCGGTCACAGTAACGCCAAAAAGAGCAGCTGTCATCTCCATAGCATAGGCATTTTTCTGTCCACAGAATTAATGTAAATACAGAAGGAAAAAGTGGTGTTGAGTTCTCCTTGGGCCACGGAGTCATAGAATCAGGTGGGAGGCAGGAATTCCTGAGTTCAAATCTGGCCTCAGAAATGTACTACCTGTGTGACCCTGGGTAAGTCACCTAACCTCTGCTTGCCTGTTTCCTCATCTGTCAAGTAGTGACTACCTGTAGTACCTAACCTCATAGGTGGTTGTGAAGCTCAATGAGATAATGTACATAAAGTGCATTACAAACCTCAAAGCGTTATTTATTTAAAGGCCTATTGTAATTATTACAGTTCTCCCTTGATTGCAGTCTCTAAGTTAGAAGAGCTCTCAGAGATGATCTGATCTGAACCCAGTCTGTAACAGGAATTCTGTCCATAGCATCTAGTTCAAGTAGCCATTCAGGATGGTTGGGTGGGGAGGAAAGAGGCAGAGAATGAGAGGGAGAGAAGAGAGACAGAATGAGGAGAGAAAGAGGGAGAAACAGAGGAGAGACAGACAGAGACAGGAGAGAAAGAGACAGGGAGGGAAGGAGGGGGAGAGAGACAGTAGGGGGAGAGACGGAAGAGAGAGACAGGGAAGGGGAGAGAGAGGAGAGAGAAAGAGAGAGTGGGGGGGAGACAGGAGAGAAAGACACAGGAGAGAGAGACAGTGGGGAGAGAGACAGGAGAGGGAGACAGAAAAAGGAGAGAGACAGACAGAGAAGGAGAGGGAGAGAGAGACAGTGGGGGGGGAGACAGAGGAGAGAAAGAGATGAGAGAGAGAGAGAATGAGTTTATTCAGCATTCGCCATGTGCCAGGCACTGGGATACAAATATAAAGACTGTCCCTGAGAGCTTACATTCTAATGGGGAAAAACAAAAGATAGCCATCCACCTAGCATGGTGTGGACACTGCTGAAAAGTGTGAACACAGTGTGGAGCCTGGCTGTGGCAAGATAAGGCTAGGCCTCACTTATTGGAGCCTGGAGTGCCAAGGTCAGAATCCAAGGTTCCAGAGGAGAGGAGATGGGGATAATGCCAGAAATCAGGTGGTGTACTTGGAGATGGCCAGGAGGTGGTGAGACAGGACATTTCACTTGTAGTGAAGCTGATGATGGATTAGAAAGTGTGCCAGTCTTAGAGGCCTGAAGCCCTGGCTTCAGATCCCACTTCTAACTCTGAGTGGGGAGGGTGGGGGTAATTCTAGCCAAGGAGCCTTTGAGTTCTGGCTTCCTCTTTTAGAGAATGGGGATAAAAATGGTCCCTCCTTCATAGGTTCTTGTGAGGCTTGAAGGAGGCCAGGTCTGTAAGTCTTTGCAAACAGTATCTGTACGTCTGTTGGCTTAGGGCGGTGTCTGACGGGGACTTCAGGCTAGAGTGTGAAGACTGAGGGCTCATCTGTTAACAGGAGGATTGTCCCAAAGAAAGTTTCCCAGCTTCCACGGGGAATCCCTGGGCTCCGGGAGTATCCCACCCTTCAGGGATTCCTGCGATTCCTGTTGTCAGGCCTTGGACCTGTGTTTTCTTCTTCCCAAAAGGGTCTCCTCTGGAAGTGGTCCAGGGGTAAGAAACTGCTGGCTTCTCCAAGCACGCACTCCCTTTCATTCTTATTTACGTAAGCTGGCAAGGGCAGGGGTGAGGGAAGGCCCCACAGAGGACCACAGAGATGTTGGTCAAATTCGTCCACAGCTGAGATTCCTCTAGCAGATGAGTGTGCTGGGAGAGCCTGGCTTCACGTCCTGGGCTGACATGTACTGCCTTAAACAAATCCCTTCACTTTTCTGAACCTGCCTCCTCACTTCCTTTAAAAAATGGCACACCTCTCTGCCTCACAGGGTTCTTTGTAAAGGCCTTAAAATATCATGTAAAGACAAGTTCCTGCTATCCTTTTCATCTCATTAAAAAAATTTGGCCTTTATGAAATCTCATTGGTTTTTGAAATGACCCATCGCCAGGCTAAACCTAGAACAGTAACAGGAGCTGAGAGTATTCGGAAGGCCTGTTTCAGGGTAGCTTGGACAAATAGGCAGAATGTCATAGCCCAGACTTCTTAAGCTGGTAGAGAATTTCAAGAAACTAAATTGTGGTGGAATTATTATTTGTAAATATTGTAAGGATCGTGGAAAGCACAGTCTTTATCTAATACGACTGGTAGTATTTGAATGAATCTGTCTTTGGATGACCTTTTACACCATAACTAAGCTTTATACAAATTAGAGATGTGGCCCCATCTATCATGAGGCTGTTACCACATTTTTAACTTCACAAGAGGAATATGAGATGCTGTATTTAATATCGTGTTAGGGAGCCCTCTGGTGGGAAAATTATGAGGCCAGTGTGCTTGGCTTGTCCAGAAGATACGGGGCTAAATAGAGGAAGCCAAGGAAAGACAAGAAAAGGGCACCTGAAATTTAGGTTAAACAGACTGTATTACATCATGCAAACATATGTCTTAAAATGTAATCTCTCAATGGCCTGGGAAGACTGCACTAACAGATCTCAATGGTTTGGGAAGGCTACATCAACAGATATTTGAAACGGAAACATAGATATTGAGGGCGTGTACAAGGTGCTATGATCAGTGTTGACAGTAGGAGGTACCACCATCTTGGAGTAAAGCTTAAATAATAAAGCAAGAGAGGTACTTTGGTAAGAAATGGAAAATATATTTAAAATGTACATTGGGGGTAGAGGAAATGTTCTAAATGAGCCCAATGAGCTCAAAAGATAGCAGTAATAGTTAACATTATAGATAAAGGATTCCAAGTCACATAGGCAACAAGATGGAGGACTCAACATTTTCTCTGATCCTTACGATTTCTCAAGCCTCTCCAAAACAGAGATTATGCACCAAAGATAAAGCAGCCTCAGCTGTTTCCATGGTCTAGGGCACCCAGAATCCAAAAGAAGTATTTTAGAAAAACCCCAAACCCATGAAATGATGCTCACTGACCCTGAGCTCATTCAGTACCTCTCACACTACTGGCATCTAGGCTGCAGTAGCAAACCCAAGGACCCCCATCTAGGCTCACAACAAAACCCACCCCAATCCTCCCAAGAGGGAGTGTTTCCCATCTGGGGTCCCACTGCTTGTGACTTGGGTCCCCAAGCAGACCTTTTCACAGCTGGCATGCAGGAATGGTAAGAAATCCCTTCCTGGTGGATGAGGGAGTATCAGCAGACTTTGGGCTAGAGAGGTGCCCCTTGCCCTCAGCCTGCCCTTCACCAAGGGAGTTGCCCAGAGTATGAGGAAGGATTTGAACTCAGGCCTTCCTGACTCCAGGTTTAGCAGTCTATCCACTGTAGCATTTGGCTTCCTTTCTTGGAATCAGGAAGAGCTGGATTTGAATCTTCCTCTAAAATTTACTGACTGTGAGACCATGGGCAAGTCACAATCTCTGCCTCGGTTTCCTCATCTGTAGAATGGAGATCCTCTTCTTTCTTGGGTTGTAATGAGGAACAAATGATATGAGGTGTATAATATTCTCAGCAGACTTTCAGGTACTGTGGTATGTATCGATCTCTGTAGGAACCATGCAGGTTGTGACAAGCTCGTTTCAAAGGGGGTGGATTACATTTCACCAGCCGTCCTCAGGGGCCTGGAGCTTTTTCCTGGCTCCCTCTTTGCTGCCCTCCCCTCTCTTGACCTTGCTTCCATTTCAGCCTGGCTGCCAAGACTCCCGCCTTCAACAACGGAGAGGCTTTCTAATTGGGAGAGGCATTTCTTTGTGGTCAGCAGCTAGTAGCAGTGAAATGGCTTTTCCTCCTTCTCTTACACAGCCAAGCGCAGACGCCCCCAAACTGAAGAAGGACGCACCCCAAGGTCGGAGCGCACTGTTGGCAGATATTCAGCAAGGGACTCGCTTAAGGAAAGTCACTCAGATCAATGACCGAAGCGCCCCTCAGATCGAAAGTAAGTGTGCCCGGGGCCTGAGCCGGGATGACCCGTTCCCCCAGGAGTTAAGAGGAGGCCGTCATCGGTCACCTAGAACATGCGCCAGACCCCTCAGGCCAAGGGGCGGTGAGCTCATGAGCTCAGAGAATGTTAGAGCTGACAGGGACCTTGGCAACTGTCAGAGGAGGTCACCCTCTGGCTTATTTTTCACTTTAATGCTAGCCTTTGTTTGCACATCATCTTCATTTCTGAATATATTCCTCTCCTTTACTCAATCAGCCTTCCTTTGTGATAAATAAGAAGAAGAAGTCACCAAACATTTATTAAGCACCAGGTCTGGGCCAGGCACTGTGCTTGGCTCTGAGGGTCCGAGGCAAAGATGTGTCCCTGCCAAAGATGTGTCCCTGCCCTCAAGGAGCTCATGGTGTAATGGGAGAGACAATGTGCAAACAAACTACGTACGAGCAAGATAGAGACAGGAGAAATCGAGGGTAGGCAACAGCAGAGACGCAGTAAGATTAAGGAGGTCTAGGAAAGGCTTCTTGCAGGTCAGACTTTAACTGAGACTTCAGGAAGCCAGGAGGCAGAGATGAGGAGGGTGAGCATTCCCAACATGGGAGCCAGCTGGAGAAGTGTCGTGGGTGAGGAACAGCAAAGAGTCACTGAATAGGACAGCGTATGCTGTGTTCCACACCCGTCGTGCCCCGCCTCTGCAAAGAGCACCCCTTTCCTTTTCCCAAGAAGGAGACCCAAGTACAGAGACTTGTCTAGTCCGGTGCAGAGCTGGGGATTAGGAGCCCTGGGCTCAAATCTCAGCCCAGAGATTGTTCCCGAACAACACGCTGCTGCCCTTATGAAGCCGATGAGTTTGACAAACTGCCCTTCAAAGGTCAGCCCGTGATAAAGCTGTTGTTTTTTTTAAGAAGTTGGAGATGATTTACAAAACTTCTGTTCTTTTTCCAGAAACTTAAAAAAAATCTATATTGAGTTTAATATTATTTGTAGCATTTACTGAACTCTAGATCTATAAAGCAATAACATATCTTAGTCATTATAGATAAGAAATTTATGCTCATATCACAAAAAATGGGTCTTTGTCAATAAAACTGTCCTTACTCGTTCTCCAACAGCACACACACACACACACACACACACACACACACACACACACACACACACCCCTCTGACAACTGGATTTGGTATCCCAAAGGAGACCTGGATTCAAATCACCATTTCCTGCCTGTGAGACCTTGGACAAGTCACTGAGCCTTGGTTTTTCTCAGCTGTAAAAAGGAAGGGATTGGCCAAGCATTCCTTGAAGGTTCCTTCTAGCTCCGGCTTCCACGTTCCTAGATCATAATTGGATACAGTGAACCCTTGACAGTTTAACTATTAGTCGGTTTGTCTTTTCCTCCATTGTCTCTTGGACTCAGTACACACTCAGCTTAGTCATGTCTACCCTACGGATAAACTGTCATGGAAAGATGGCGGTTGTTCTGTAGTGCCTAGACGTGGAGCTGGAAAAAACTTTGGGGGCCATCTTGTCCAACCCCATCACTTCACAGATGAAGAAAGTGGGGCCAGAGAGATTTGCCTTGCCTAAAATCACATGGAGTAAATGGACAGTCAGGTTGTGAACCAAGGTCTTTAGGACTCTTTCCTGCATGAATGATTCATGAGTAATGAAATGCTCACTTTGAGACACTTGCTCCAAGATCATCGGAGATATTTCATTCTGCTCATTGGCCTATTCTTAATTGTATGGAGAAAGAGACAAATAATTTTAGAAATCTCAACAGGGAGGGAGGGAAGGAGGAAGGAAGGGAGGGAGGATGTTGTGCCTTTTCCACTGGGCTAATTGGGAAATCCAGTTAAGCAGAATGCCTCCAATCTCACAAATTGGAGTTTAAATAAATAAATAAATAAATAAATAAATACTTCTCTGAGAATTTAGCTGTATTCATCCACCAGTGGGCACTATGTCCTAATTTCTCAGGGCATGTGAGATAAGAGCTGGCTTTAATTTCTGGCTGGAGGTTCCTCATTCATGCCACAACCACATGGTTTTTTCATCTTCTGCAGTTTCTAAGCACAGGTATCTCTCTGACATAGAGTTCAAGCCAGCTGTGGGCAAGGGCTGATTCTCCTTCCCCTCCTTGGGGCCATTTCATTCCTCCTGAGGGGCTTATGGGGATGGGGAAGGGAATTGAAGGCCAGTCTGGTGGGGATATATGGCTTCTAGCTTGACCCACCTTCAGAGACTGTCGGGTATTGAGATTTAGAGGTATTTCCTCACCATGCTAAGTGCTGAGGACACCATAAAGCTAAAATGGGTCTCGGCCTCCAGGAACTCGCATGCAGATTTTTTTTGCAGGCAAATGTGGGATGGTGGGTAGAGAGACAGCTCCATGCAAATGACCCTCACTGGGAATGAGCTGCAGGCTCGTTAACTATGGGATGCTCAAACTCGGTGCCATCTTCCACCTTTTTTCTCCTCAGCTTCGAAAGGAGCCAATAAAGAAAGTGGAGGTGCTCCTGGGAATTCCCGAGAGGGCAACCCACCCGCCCTGGGAGGCTTGTTTGCAGGGGGCTTTCCTGTGCTGAGGCCAGCAGGCCAGAGGGACGGCTCAGGTAAGGGGGCTGGCGTTGGGATAGAGGAAAACTGGAACAGGCTCTTGGCAAAGCAACGCATTGGGGCTCTGATGTCATTCCATCACAGGGTCCTGGAGCTGGAAGGGACCTAGTTCCTTGTTTTATAGATGAGGACATGAAGACCAAGGGAGGTTAAGTAACTATTTGAGTCAGGTGGGATTTGAACTCGGGTTCTCTGGCTTTAGATCCTGCTTTCTTGAGGTGGAGGGAGAAGGCAAGGGAAAAGGAGGGGAGGAAAGAAAGAAAAGGATGGAAAGAGGAGGGAGAAGAGGGAAGGAAGGGAGGGGAGGGAGCAGAGGAGAGCTTTTCACAGATTTTGTGAGGGGTAGTTCTTGTTTTAAGTACGCGTACTTAATGACGCTTTTATCCACTGCTTTCGACAAAGCCGGAGAAATTCACCAGCTGGCTGAGTTCTAAGCTGCGGGTAGTGTCGCCCCAGCCAATCATCACCCAGGGCTTTGGGGCTGCCTCGGGCCTTCTGAGAGCCCAATTTAGAACATTACAACTCGCTGGAACAGAAGGAACAAAGCTTAGTGCTGTGCAAAGTCTTGAGTTGAGAAACGGCAGGGGAAAATGGGGTTTTTATCAAAATCGTAAACCGTGCTTGCCCGTTGATAATTAGAATTACAAAGTTCACTTTTTATAAAGCTCACAAAGGGTTTTATCCACAGTCATGGGGTGAGGCGTAGCGAGGGCACGTGTCATTCTGCCCATTTTAGAGATGAGGTGTTAAGTGATTTAGTCACACTCTCACTACAGACTGGACCGAGGTGCTCTGCCACCTGATCCGATGCCCCGCATTAATAGGGGGGTTCTTCTGGGAACGAGAAGAAGCCGACCCTGAGTTTTTAGATTAATTAATTCTATTTTTTAGTGCCCGTAGATGGAGGCACGAAATTCCGACAAAGCTCGCCCTCATTTATTCCTCCCAACGGAACTGAAAGGTTTTCTAGGCCCCCCGTTGCCCCCGGCCAGGTGGGGGCTCAAAGTGGAAGGCCCCCGGGGGTGCCCGCCAGCACTGGGCTCCTCCGGGCCTCGTGGTGACGTCACTGATGGCCGCTCTGGTCTGCAGGTGGGGGGTCCAGAGCTCCGTCCCCTCGGCTCCCCGCGAAGAGCATCAGCGCCCCGCTGAACCCCCCTGCGTCTCCGAGACTGGGCCCCGCGTCGGAAGCCTCGGCCCCCCCCCGACCCGCCCCCCCCCCCCCGCCTCCGCCCCCCCCTCCCCTCCCTCCGCCCTCGGCTGTCTCTGCCGTCGGCAAGCCCCCCCTCGTCTCCCCCCCGGCTCTGATGGTGCCGCCCCCGCCCCCCACCGCGGCCCCCCCACCCCCTCCCCCGACGCCCCCTCCTCCCCCGCCACCCGTGCAGGGCGAGAGGGGGGCTAAGCCCGCGCCCGGGCCGTTGCACCTGCCCCCTCCTCCGCCCCCTCTGCCCCTCCTTCCCCCCTGTGGCTTTCCTGGGCCAGTTTCGGAGGCTTCTGCTCCCAGCCCTCCTCCGCCGCCGGACCTTCGGGACCCCCCGCCTCCCCCCCCTCTCTATTCCTGCCCTTCGCCCAGGTCATCTTTGCCCCCGACGCCCCTGCCAGGCTCCAGTGGCGGCAGTGATGCTGCCCCTCCACTTCCACGCAAGTCCCCTAATGCCAGCCTCCAGTCCGTGCCCCTGCCACCCACCCCCCCAGCCTCCCAGTCCACCGTACTGGTGCAGAAGAAGCGGCCTGGCAGAGGAGCGGGTAAGTGAACCTCCACCAGGACGGGGGCCAGGAGCTGGTTGTTAAATATTCGGTGTTAGCGTTTGCACCCCAGAAGTCAGCAGGCGCTAAAAGCAGGGCTTCATTTATTACCCTTTGGGATTAGGAGGTTTGGCCTTAGGGCTGACTTCGGCCCCACCTGCTGCAGGAGTGGCCCATCCCCTAGGATGCCCTTTTTTTCATTGTTGCTAAAGATTATGCAATTGCCCAGTGGCATCTAGTCCAATCTCCTCATTTACTAGATGAGAAAATAGACCCAGCAGTGATTTACCCAAGGTCACACAGGTATAAGAACCAGAGGCAGGATCTGAACCCCTTCCAAGTCCAAAGCAGTACTCTTTCCAGTGTTCCACACCGTCTCCAAGTCATGGTTTGTATCCTGCCTTTGATAGTAACTGTGTGACCCTGGCCAAGTCACTTACTCTCTTGGGCCTCAGTTTTCTTATCTCCAAATGCAGGATACTGTCATTATTGTGAGGATTAGAAGAGATAACTTTCCTATATCACTTTACAAACCATTAAAACCATTCATAAATACTGGTTAGAAGCAGTAGAAATGGTACCAAAGGAAACAAGTTTGGGGAAACAGACTACCCAGAGAAGGTCCGTGTTGGAGGGAACGCAGAAATGAATGTGTTCAGATACCTTTCCCGGTATCAGTTGGAGAAGATAGCAAAGACCTGGGTTGGGGGGAGGAAACGGGACCTCTAATCTCATTACCAAATGAAAGGTGACCTAGAGCCTATCAGAACTAGCTGATTTTAGACCTTCTCTCCCATCTGTTTAAAATTTCATGATAACAAAATAATTTTTATTTTTAAAATTTTTATGTTAATTATGATGAATAAATAATTTGATGTTAAATTAATAATTGAATATAGTTAAACTAAATTATTCATAACTAATAAAATATTGTTAGTAATGTTATTAGTAAGTCATTTAAGTAAACTAATAGATAATTGAATGTTGTTGGTAACAAATTATTAATAATCAATAAATCATTATTAGTGATTAGTAATTAGTTGGCTGACTGACTTGTCTCAGACAGTTTCAAAGCAAGGTGTTTCCTCACTGGGCATCTCATAAACCAATTAAATCACAAATCTGATCCAAAAAAACTAGCAAATGTCCATGTCTCCTTCAGTTATTGATCCTGCTGCCTTTTCACCCTTTGGGATTAGGAGGTTTGGCCTTAGGGCTGACTTCAGTCCCACCTGCTACAGGAGTGGCCCATCCCCTAGGATACTCTGGTCAGGACAGATAAGTCCAATTTCCCCTTGGAGACAGGCTTTCCAAGGAAGCTCGTCAGTCTAGTCTTCTCTAGGCTTCGTCATCCCAGTTCCTCTAGTCTTTTCTCGTGGGGCCTGTTTCAGCCCCAGACCATTGTTACCGTCTTTTGAACCTTCTCTAAGCCATCCCCGTAGTTGGAGTTGTATACAGCCAAGTGGATGCTGGTAGCCTTGCATGACAGAAAACAGCATTTTCCTCCTGGTTCTGTGAGAGAAGGTTTGTCTCATTTGATGATTCTTGGGCCAAGCCCTGCTGCTCAGTTTCCCAACAAATAAGCCCAAGGCAGTAATTAGAGGGTAACAGATGCCACTGTTGAGACATTTCTCTGCACTTGCCTGTATCTAGTCAAATATTTCAGGTGTCTGGCTAACTGGAACAGCCAGGGAGGAAGCCAGGGGACTTTTAAGGGAACCATAAGGGAAGCATCTCCACAGTGCTTGTCCTGTGAGGTCCAGGCAGAAGCACGTGTTCATGGCCAGGGTGGGTTGCCGAAGAAGTCAATTTCCACTTTTTCTTGGGGAGAGAACTCTGAAAGGATCACTTCCAAGATCTGCCCAAGTTCCTTGGCCAGAAATTCGATGACCTCACATCCTCCCAAGGCCTTCCAGCAGCTTCTTTCTGGTGTCTTCAGTAAATCATCACCATCTTCTCTGTCTCCATGGTTTTCACCTCAGTGTGCCTTTTCTGGCACATCTTGCCAGTGGGCGGCCATGGCAGCCTGAAGGAAGAGTTTCATCAGCAGATTCTCCCACTTCTCTTTCTTCTCGGTTATTTTCAGTGACCTTTTTACTGACAACCCTTGAGGCTCTGCCAGCTCCATACAGTTCTCAGAGAAACACACTCCAGCTCGCTGGCCTCTTTTACCTTAGTGCCCTTTCGTCTCTGGGCTGCTGCCCTCGTAGGCTTCTTGACCAATTCCCCCACATCCTGAGCCAGGTTCTTACTTCTCCTGACCAATGCTATCTTAATTTTGACCTGGATCTGGCAGTTCAACCCCGTTTGAAAGATGAAGCAACTGAGAGAGAAATGACTTAACAGTAACAGTAAGTGTTAGAGTCTTCTGGTTCTGAGACCGGGGTCCTTTCCCCCACATCTCTGAGGTCTCTCCAGTGTGGCTCAGGCCTGCCCTATATTAAATACAATGGGACAGTCTCCAGCCTATGGGGTGCCTGGGTGAGTGCCATATTCCTCCTCGTCCCTTACTGCACCGTGCTGACCTTTCAATTTCCTGATATTTCCTGGTTTTCCAGCTACTTGATTGGGCCCTATCCTGTAGGCAAGGACTGTGGGAGACCCAGAGAGTTATTAGACCCACTTCCCTGCCCTCATGGATTTTACAGTCTAGTGGGGGAGAAAAAGAAAAATTCAGGACAGGTTCAGTTTAGTAAGTTTTTATTGAGCATTCATGGGCAAGGGACTGTGCTGAATTTAAAACAACTTTTTAGAATTAATTAATTTATTTATTTCTTATGAATTTATTTTGAGTTATCAACAGTCACTTCCATAAGCTTTTGAGTAAAACAGCATTTTAATAGCATTCATAAGGAAATACCAACTCCTTAGCCTAGCCATTTCAGGTCCTCCACAGTCTGGGCTCATTAACCCTTTCCAATCTTTTGTCATATTAATAAGAAATGAGAATGTAGGGCTCTAGACCTAAGATTCTCTGGCCCTAATCCCCTTCACATACGATAGATTCCAGCCAAACTGACCTTTAGCTAATCCCAGACTTGCCTCCATCATCCTCAGCTGCCTTCCCCAAGGCCTTTCCTCCTCTTCTCTGAGTTTCCTTCAGTGCTCACTGGCAGTATCCACTTGTCTTTGAAGTTCTTTCAAGGCAGTGGATAGAGCCGTAGATTTACAGTCAGGAAATCCTGAGTTCTCAGACACTTACTAGCTGTGTGACCCTGGATAAGTCATTTAACCTTTGTTAACCTGCTCCTTTGATATTGCGCTTGGGTATATTAAGGCTCTATCTGCTTCTTCCTCAGGGACTGGTGGCGGGAAGCTGAATCCACCCCCAGTTCCCCCAGCAAGGTCCCCCACGACAGAGCTGTCCAGCAAAAGTCAGCAGGCCCTGGCCTGGGTGGGCACACCACAGCCTGGAGCCCCCTTGAGGAATGGGAATTTCCACATCACAGGTAACCTGCCAGCTCCCAGATAGGCAGCCCACCAACTCCCCCCATCCCCAGCACCCTTAGCTGGGTTTAGACTTTGTGTTTTCTGATGGACTTGGGAAGCTGAGACATGCCACATGGGCTCTGAGGTTTACTAAGCAGACATTTTTGGAACCAAGTCTATTCCCACTGCCCTGGGCAATTATAAAAATGAGAATGCGCATGGCTGCTCTGCAGTGCTGGTAACAAGCTGCCTCCCAGAGGCATCTGTACAAGCGGAACTATCATCTGGGACACACCAACCATGAAAAGCTGGGATTGTGGAAAGAGGAAGGCCAGCCTTTAAAATGTGCAGAAGAAGTTAGGGGAGGCTGGGATTGTGGAAAGAGGAAGGCCAGCCTTTAAAATGTGCAGGAGAAGTTTGGGGAGGCAAAGACCACAGGGGACTAGGAGTCCATTGGGCCTGGAGTTGTGCCCACTCTAAGGAGATGAGGTTCTTGGAAATATGACCTCTGCCTCCTCTCTGGACCCTCCCCAGTTTGCTCCAAGAGAGCCGAGGTATGTCAGGAAGCCCCCTTAGTTTTTGCTTTTGAAGCTAGGGTTCCCTTTGACAGCAGGGGCAAGGGATCCCTATTCTACCTTTACTCAGGAGCCCCTAGTTATCAGGGCTGCCCAGGGCAGTTCAGAGGTGCCAGATGCTATCTTTGACCTTGGAGCCTGGGGGCCCCACATCAGCTCAATTATTCCTGCCCAGGAAATGGTTGTTATTGGAGACAGTTAAACTTGAAATGTTATCACTTCAAAGTTATCTGTGTTGGAATGTCCCACACACAGACACACGTTTGAGGGGAGTGGTTATGTGTGGATGCCGGCTCCCCATCGCTTCCTTTGTCTCCCTTGTACCCCAAATGACTGTTTAAATCACTCTCACTGAACCCTGGGTTTAAGCAAGAGGAGGCAGAGAAGGGCGTCCAGTGTCAGATCCACTCCCTGGGGTTTACTCCCTGGAGTAAAAACAGACTCCAAGCACATGATTGTCGTTAACTGGCACGTTTCTCATTGTTTCCTCTTCTCGGTCCAGATGACTTTGAGTCCAAATTTACTTTTCACTCCGTGGAAGACTTCCCTCCTCCTGATGAATACAAGCCATGCCAGAAGACGTATCCCAGCAAGGTCCCCAGAAGTGAGTATGGCTCATCTCTCATTGACTAGACAAAGGGTGCTTTTTCCCTTTAATGCAGTTTTCTTTTTAATTGTAAACTTAATAGACATCATCTACAAACATAAACATTTTAGTATACAAAGAACAGAAAAAGAGAGTTGCGTATGAAACAAACTTTAATTATGTAGCTTTAAAGTATGTATTAAATTTAACACAATAGTAATAAAACTATCCTACTTACATTGCTGTATCACTGCACCAGGCTGTATCTCAGTGAATGCATGAATGCATTTATAAAGGACTTTAATTAGTCATTGACCTTCCAAGGAGAACCTGTGAACCATCCTTCCAAAGGATAGTTGGGTTCCAAAGGCAAAGTTGGTTTTATTTTGCATGGGGGTGGGGGAAGAAAGATACATACATATATATATATATATATATATATACACACACATACATATATACGTATATACATGTAGGCATATATGTATGTATATGCATGTATGTATATTTATATATATACGCATATGCATGTGTGTCAATACTGATGTATTCAGTGCAAAGGTTGGTATAGGGGAAGGTGGCAAAAAAATACATCAGAAAGGGCAACTAGTGGCACAGTGGATAGAGCACTGGCCCTGGAGTTAGGAGGACCTGAGTTCAAATGTGGCCTCAGACACTAGCTCTGTGACCCTGGGCAAGTCACTTAACCCCGATTGCCTCACAAAAAAAAAAATAAAAATAATAAATTGGAAAATGGGATGCAGAAGTAAGACACGAGAGAAGCCAACAATTAGTAGGTAATAGCAAAATTCCGTGCCTCTAAATTTGAATGTTTTTCTGAAGAAGAGAGTTTGGAGGCCCTGGAAATGGGACGCATGAAATAGCATCCTAAAAACTGAGACTGATTCTATTTGAAGGCAGGAAAGGCCCGTTACTAATGAGTCACTGCCTAATTAGCGCAGTAAACTCTTAACTTGTGAGACCAAAGATCAGAATCGATAGCAAATTAAAAGGAAGACTGAAAATGAGAAGATAGAATCCATAGTTGAGATGGTCCCTTGTCATCATCATCATCATTGCTAAGTATATAATTCTTCTAAGGTTTTCAAAGGCAGCTAGGTGGCGCCATAGGGCATAGAGCGCTGGACCTGGAGTCAGGAAGACTCATCTTCTTGAGTTCAAATCTGGCCTCAGACACTTATAGCTGTGTGACCCTGGATAAGTCACTTCACCCTGTTTTCCTCAGTTTCCTCATCTGTAAAATGAGCTGGAGAAGGAAATGGCCAACCCCTCCAGTATCTTTGCCAAGAAAACCCAAAATGGGGTCATGAAGAGTTGGACACAACTGACCAACGGCAACTACAGCGACAAAGGTTTTCAAAGCAGTTTGCATGTATTAACTACTTAAACCAGTTGTAGACACTGAAGTGAGAAATGAATGAAAGGATAGATCTTAGCATGGACTGTCACCATGTCCTAGGGAGGTTCAACTGATAAAATTCGGTCACCTTAACAAAGAGTGCAAAAGAGCCCAGAAACCACCTCTACCAGCAAACAATTTGTCTCCTTGCCAAGTCAAAAGAAATAGAACCAAGGACAGCACCCGGTTTAGTTAGTTGGTTAGTAAGCATTGATTAAGCACCTTTTTTGTGCCAGGCACTGTGTGAAGTACACTGGTTTGCAAATAAAATTAATTAAATAAAATTAAGGTGGTTTGTAATAGCTTAGTGAGGAGGACAGTGGAAAATCATGAGCAGTACTACGTGGGAAAACAGCGAGAAGCAATGGAGAGTAAAACAAACGTAGAGAAATCCTACTTCACCCAATTAACCCACGGGCATTTGAGGACGAAACTGGAAAGGAGACAAGGAGATGAAAAATACAAAAGGCCATTACTGTTGACTATTTAATAAACCAAAATGTCACCCTAAAGACACTTCACCATCAAAGTGTATCCTGCGTGTACCTTAAAATTTAAGATTCCTTTGAGTTTATAGTAATAGAATAATTTTGATGACATCCTGATTATTCGTGACAGGGGACGTTTAAAGCAGAGAGATGTATGCTTGCCAAAGGTGTTGGCCATCATCATGGAGGATAGACCACACAGAATCCAGATGGAGGAGGAACTCCTTCTAAAGAAAGAGGTCCTCCAGTTCTTCTTCTAAATGATATTTTATTGACTGCATCAAAGCGTATAATACTGAACAGCCTCCTAAATAAAATTAATACTCTCTCAAAAGAATTTGCCTTAACTATCCACACAAGAAAAACCAAATGGATGAAGAATGCCTGTCGTCCAGAATGCGATGTGCCATTGGATGGAGAAACCATATAGTCGGTCTAGATGTGAATCTTGGACAGGCACCACATGTGGGCGCCGAGGTGGGCTTAGGAGGAAGACACAAGATTGGATTGCCTTTGGGAAAGTGCAGTTTCATTTTGCTTTACTAGAGGTAGGCCCCCAGCATGTTGGGTGGACTCTTTGTGGAGGATTTATGGGAGGACATGGGTAAGAGTCACAAAGGAAGAGAAACTGGTGACTTGGTAAATAAAAGGCCGTACCTAGAGTCAGGAAGACCTAGTTCAAATCCTGCCTTAGATATTTAACTAGCTGAATGACACCTTTGACTTCTCTAAGCCTCAGCTTTCTGGATCTGTAAAATTAGGATAATAATAGCACCTGTCTTCCAGGATCAGTAAGATAACATATGTAAAGGACTTTGCAAACCTTTTGCTATCATCATCATCATTCTTAGGAGAAGACATTATCCTTAGAAGAAGGTCATTACATGCCACATGGATGAGATCACACATCTATCAGAATAGCTACAGAGCTATACAGAGCTAAGGCAGGTGGAGTGGATATCACTGATATCAGAGAAGGAGCCACAGACCATTTAAAGAGTCCAACTCATAGAGCTGATAATGATAATATTAGAACTCTGAGAAAGATAGTTGTTATACTGCTACTATTATACTACGACCAAGTGGGTGCTTCATGGGTTGCCGGTGGGATGGAGAGTCATCAGACGCTCCAGAGAATTAAAAAAGGTTTACCCAGATGGCCACGGAGAGGTGCTTGGTGGGTGTGAACAGGCAGCAACCCATTTCAAACAAGCAATGATCAAAGATGCCAGGAGTTAAATACTTGTCACCAAAGGAAAAAAATGAGCTTGTCTTGTGGGAAAGAGGAAAAGATGGATGGCCCATGAACTCCACCGGAACCTTTGCTATGTCATAAGGAAGCGAGGACCCCAGTATACTGGGTAGATGTCCTATGACCATGTCATGTTCACAGATGGACAAAGGTTACACGGGACAGGCCAGGAGGGATGGCTTGGGGGATGCGTCATTGGAGGAGAAAGCCACATCCATGAGATCACCCAGCCATTTGGAATATGGGAGTCCCAAACTGAAAAGCAAGCCTTTTTACTCTGGCTTTCTTTAATTTAATTTAATTTCTTGTAGTTGTCTCATTTGTTTTTTCACTGTTGTATCTTTGGTATATTACACACTGATGAGAACAGGACAGGGCAGTAAGACATCTTGTTCATCCTCCTTCTCTGCATCATAGACCCCTTGGGCAGTCTAGCAAAGCCTCTGGACCCCTTCTCAGAAGGTGTCTCGAACAGAATCATGTTTTTAAGTAATTGAAGGAAATTCTAAATTCCAGTTAGAGGTTAGTGAAAATAAAGATGTAATATTTTGCCCATCCAAGTTTAATGACCCCTTAACATCTGTCCACAGAACCTAAGAACCCCGTCCTAAGCCATTCTGGGAAAGGGGATTCTTAATCTTCAGATACCCTGAAATCTCTTGAGCATCTTAGGGACTTTGAAGGCAGGAAATCCTTCCTAATGCAGAGCCCTCCTATTATAACTAGACCCACTGCTTTGAGTTTAGTTCTTGGTGGAAATGGAGGTTAGCTACCCCAACCCTCTACCCTGCATGGTCGTGGTTAATGGACTCTGTGTTGCGTTATTCCTGTCCTCAGCATGGAGTAATATCAACTATGAACTGATATTTGTAGTTTTAAGAAACGAGCTCACCCTCTCAATTCAGGATGAGGGGCTGGGAAAGAGATACGTGAATAACTCCTGAAAACACTCAGTGAGCATGTGAGTGCCTGTCCTTGGGAATCCCAGTGCTAGATGCTATTAGGTTAATACAAGACCAATCTTTGATTATTCCAGTCTGCTAGCACTTTCGCGTCTCTTCCAGCCTCCCAGCTCACTGTTGACCTGGTTCCTTTGTGATTTGGACTCTTCATGGTTGAGAAAGCAATGTCATCTTACCTCTGAGGAATTCATTGTCCTGTTTCAATACTAGTGACGTGTGTGGATTGTGCCCTTTGTCTCACATGCACGCACGTGTGCACACACACACACACACACACACACACACACACATAAATACACGTTACATGCTCATATCCTGTACTCGTATTTACCAGGAGGTATTTGCCACTCTGAGGCTTCTAGTTGTTTCCTTTGTTGTTTCTTATTCCACCATCCCGATGCCTGTCTCCGGGGGGGGGGGGGGGGGTGTCTGCACCTCTCTGTCCTGATGGAGACGTTTAAGACCTCTTTACCCCTTAGTTCACCAAGATGAGGTTGAAATGTTTACAAAGAAAAAGAGAACAAATAGAAAAACATAAAAAGAGATGTATTTACAAAATATGGATGTCTTATCCTGACTTACCTGAAAGAGTCATCACTGTGCTATGTGTGTGTGTGATATATTAATACAGGTGAGACCATGTAATCCCTCAGCCAAAGCTGCAGGGGCTCCACTTTGCTTTTCTGTTAAAATACAAACACTTTAGATTGGCATTTAAAGCGCTCCAGAGTCTGGCTTCAGCCTGTTTTCCAAGCTGGTCGGACATTATTCCCCAGCATGCACTTAGCTACACTTGAGCTAAATGAGCTTGTTGGCAGTTTCCTGTATACAGTATTGCATCTCCCTTCTGACTGACCCTTGTATTCTTTTTTTGAATTGAAATTTGCAACTAAAATTAATTTTAAAAAATTATTTTAAAATTTATTTTTTTCAGCGACCAAAATCTATGCTCTCTCCCTCTCCCTCACCACTCTCATTAAAAAAGAAAGAAAAACAAAGTCCATTTTACAACCAAGTATAGTCAAGCAAAACAAATTCCTGCTTTCGCCATGTCCGGAAAATGTGTGTCTCAGTTGAGCCCTTCATCTCTGTCAGGAGGTCACATGTTTCCTCGTTGAGTCCTCTGGAATCATGATTAGTTGTTGGATCAATAATCATTGAATTTATTTTTAAATTTTTTTAATATTTTATTTTTTAATTACATGTAAAAACAATTTTTTAACATTTTTTTTTAGTTTTAAATTCTTGTCCTCCCTCTCTTTAATCCCCCCTCCCTGAGAAGGCAAGCAATTTGATGCAGACTTGTGTAGTTATACAAAACATATTTCCATATTAGCCATGTTGCAAAAGAAAACACAGATAAAAACCAAGTAAGAATAATAAAGACAATTTTTAAAAAGTGTGCTTCACTCTGCATTCAGACTCCACAGGTTCTTTCTCTGGAGGCGGATAACATTTTTCATTGTGAGTCCTTCAGCATTGTTTTGGATCGTTGTATTGTTGAGAAGAGCTAAGTCATTCACAGCTGAGGTGATCGCTGAATTTAAAAGAATTAAACTGAAATGAGAACTCTCACCTCCTGGCTTGTGCACAGCTGGGCCCCATGTCTGAATGGTTTCCACAACTCTGCCTTGCAGTGTTCCTGGGTTTTGTGACTCTGGACAAGTCACTTAACCACCATCTGCCTCAGTTTCCTCAACTATAAAATAGGAATAATAATAGCACTTCCCTCACCGGAATGCTGTGAGGATAATATATGTAAAGCGCTCAGCACAGTGCCTGGCACATAGTAGGCCCTAAATGAGTTCTTGTTTCTTTCCTTAGGGGCCACGTCTTATACAGAACCTTTCCTGAGCACCCCCTTCACCTATTATTTGTGCTTTCTCACTCTTGAAATTATTTTGTATTGCTCAGCATACATGTTGTAGTTACTTATCTGTGTTTATAGATTGGGTCTTCCTAATAGCATGTAAGCTTCTTGAGGGCAGGGACTTGCTTGTTCTGTGTCCCCAGGGCTGAGCACACTTGGGGACACTGAGAGTGACTTGCCCAGGGTTAAATAACTGGTGTGTGTCAGAGGCAGGCCTTGAACCTGGTCTCTCGTTAAATAGGTGCTTAATAATTGCTTATTGAATTGTGGTAAAGGACATCAAGGGAACCTATTTGGAATGACTGCAGATTGGGAGCCACTTGGCACAGTGCCTGGCACACAGTACGTGCTTGGTAAATGCTGATTGGATCGGATTGGATTGGGAGGGAGTTGGAGACTAAAAATGTCAGCCATGGAACTCAGATCTGCACCGAGCCAGTGGACAGGAGGAGGACAGGATGACAACAAATTTCACAGCCCAGCTACTTTTTTTTAAGGCCATTGGGGTTAAGTGACTTGCCCAGGGTCACACAGCTAGTAAGTGTCAAGTGTTTAGTCTGAGGCCAGATTTGAACTCAGGTCGTCCTGACTTCAGGGCTGGTGCACTATCCACTGTGCTGCCTAGCTGCCCCCTAGCCTAGCTACTTTTGACATTATCTCGGAGACAGAGGCAGATCTTGTTTAAAACAGCTATGATATGGAGAAGCTTGAACAAGAATTATTCGAAGCACGGAAAGTTGGATTATTTATTCTAGTCTCCACACATTCATGCATTCGTTGTTTCATTCATTCAGTGGCCATTTATAAAGCGCTTACTGTATACAAAGATTTAGAGTAGCAAGAGCTTTTACCTCCTCTGACAGTGTGTCTGCAGGTAAGACTGTGGATGAGAAAGTGACCACCCATGCCAAGAATTCCCGGGACCGTAGGTGTAGAGTAGGTGTAGAGCAAGAAGGGACTTTAAAGGTCATCACTTCCAACACCCTCCATTTTACAGATGAAGTGACTGAAACCTAGAAATGTGCAGGGAAAGGATTTGAACCCAGGTCTTCCCAACTCCAAGTCCAGGGCCTCTTAATTCAAAGGTTTTCAATTGATCGAGTCTTATAACCATTAATGACTTTGCTATGACTGTTGCTTGCAGATGCTAATTTTGTAAACATTTCTTTGTCCTGAGCCCCGAGGTGTGCCAGTTAATCCTGATTGATTAATCACATCTACCCTTTTCAGGTCCAACTCCAGGTTCCTGGCTCCCAGCAGAAGTGACTGGCCGGGGCAATGAGGACACCAAGGGTCGAAACTCTCAGGTAACAACAGGTCTCGGAATGTCAAGCCCAGGGCTGGAATTCTCGCCAGGGGGCCAGAGAATGAGCCAAGACATATTTTCTCCCAACAATTTTTCCCTCAAGGGAAAAACTCACTGATCTTAAACAAAGATGAGAAACACATGATTTTATTTTTTTTAGGACATATACTCTTCTTAAAAATTTTTTATTTAATGTTTTATTTTTTCAAATTACATGTAAAAATAATTTTAACATTATTTTTTTCAAATTTTGAGTTCCAAATTCTCTCCCTCTCTCCTCTCCCCTCTTCATTGAGAAAGCAAGCAATCTGACAGAGGTTATACGTGAAACACGTGATTTTAGTATCTGACTCTGCAAACAGGGCTTTCCCGGGTTCTCTTGAGGCGTATTGTAGAAGACTATGACTATTCCTAAAGAGGACAATATGGGATAGGAGCAAGACTTGTGATTTCTAGTAGGGGAACTCCTAGAGAAGAAAGCTTCCTTGGGAATGCAGGTGGGGACCTTCTCTGCAATTTATAGATTCACCTGTTCTTAGCCATTATTATGTAATTATTTTTAGGATTCTTCATTTCAGTCCTGGGAGAGGTAACACAGTACAGTACAGTGGAAGGAGGAGATTTGAAGGAAGTGGGTTCAGATCTCAGCTCTGCCACTTACTAGCTGCATGACTTGGCACAAATTACTTCATCTCCTTGGGCCTCAGTTTCCTCATCTGTAAAATAAGGATGCTGAATAAAGATGGGTTTTAGGGCTCTTTCTGCTCTAAATCTATGATCTAAATCACAGGGTAGCTGATGACAAGTGAAAACCAGGGAGGCCCAAATGGACATGAGATGGGGAAGTACCTTGGGTGACCCAGGACAGCCTCTTAGCCCAGCTGAAGATATTTGGGCTTCCTTACCCCCAAGGACCTGACTTCCCTTATCTCACTGTGGAGGTTCAGTTCTCATCTTTAAGAGTTATTGTTGGAAATGTTACATCAGTCCCTTCTTACTCTGGCATTTTGCTTTTTTTCCATTTGCGAGTTTGTGACAGCCTCAAAAATCTAGTGTTAGCTCTATTAGCTCATTGGTTCTTTTTACTGACCCCTCCAGTAGCTAGATGAAAGATGAGAGGAAAGTGGCATGGCCAGGAGCCCCTTGAGAGCCACCTCTAGAATCTTGAAATCAGGAAATCTTCAAGGTGCCATCTCCAGCATCAACATCAGCACCACAGCCAGAGCAGTTGACATTTATAGAGCCCTACTTGACCAGACATTCTCTTATTTGATATTCCCAACTTTGTTAGAGACATGCTACCAGTATCTCCATTTTAGAGATGAGGAAACTGAGGCTGAGAGAGAGGAAGTAGCTTGCCCAGAGTCACGTAGCTAGCATCTGAAGTCATTCACAGCCAGGCCTTCCTGACTCACACTCTGTCCTTCAGGCTGCACTTCAGGCTTGTAAGTTGAAGGGACCACAGACATCATTTGGAAGGAACTTAGTTTCTTATTAATCACAGGAGACTATAACATGAAACTATGAGGATGATTGTCTTTGTAAAGTGCTTTATAAATGTGAGTTATCATCCATAAGCGTGTCTTGGGGGCCCTGATGCTCTAAAAGGCCCGTGACATCATTGCATCTTATCCAGGTGAGCCAGAACTAGTCTTGTTCCAAAAAATGACCATTTCAGTTTCTGCTGGGAGCCTGCTTGAATATCTAATCATTCCCATATCCAGGAAATCATTCCTTGTGTTTAGCTGAAATCTTGGTCTCCTGAGTGTTCATTTTGGTGAAGATTGAAGCTTTCACCCAAATGTCCAAGTCCTCAGCATCACGGGATACTTGTTAAGAACGGCTACACAAGAGGCTTCCTTGGGGAGGAAGCAGGTAGCCTCTTGGAGAGAAACACCAAGAATCATTGAATCATGAAATCTCAGGAATGGACCACTAAGGGATGTGTGTGTTCATTGATGCACCCAAACTTGAGTGGTCCAGTAGTGAAAGCACTGAGCTAGGGGGCAGAGCGACTTCAGTTTCTCTCCCACATTTCTAGTAGGTCTATCTTAGAATCCTAGGCAAGTCACTTACCAGTTAGATTGACAGTAACCAAAGCTTGCCCTAGTGGATTCTGGGGGAGCATGAGCCCCTCACACATAGTCAGCTTTGTCAAAGATTTCATTCCATTTTTAATTCATGTTTGATTTCTGATGAGAAAAAAAATCAGATGCCATATTCATGCTGGAACCATCTAACCCAACTCAGCTCTGTTACAAAGGTTAACAAGAAAAACCATCGTGCCTTCTCCTTGTAGAGATTTTTATAAGGGGCCATCTTGTGTTCTTTGGGTAGGGAACAGGTGGTCCTTTGAGAGCCATACCTGGAGTTGTGGCAATGCAGAATTTGAAGAATTGGAGAATTCTATATTTAGAAATTGAAGGAACCTGAGGAGGGCATCTAGGGGCATCTAGCCTTCAAGGGGCCTAGAAGATCCATCACACCAGATTACCTTTAGCAGGTAACCTTTCTCTCCACAGTCCTCAGAATTGTATTATCTTTACAGTTACCACTGAAAACTCTACGGTAAGAAGACAGATGAAGTAAAAGTCCCATCATCATGCCCTGCTCTGTATAGCAGGATGCAGGAACTGTCCAAGAATGCCATCAGCAACCACACCAAACTCAAGTTTTTGTTTCTCATCTGACGAGCTCAGCAGCAAGCCCTTATTTATTATAGTTAGGTCGTTTGCACAGGCTTGGAATCAGTGTTGTAGCTGTCTTTATTTTAGTGATTTGTTTTTCAAATGTGCCCAGATTGTGGCAGCCCATTTGTCCCAGTTAGTACAAAGAGCCTGATTAGTGGTATTGGAGAGACTCCTCTCTCTGTTCAGTGTTCATCCCATGACTGTAAATAGCCCCATGGGCTGGCCCTTCCACGTCTTTAAAAAAAACAACCACCCATTTTTTGAGTCATCTTTAGAGAAGTTTTAGCTAGTCCCCCTGTTCAAGAGTACATGGCGACTCGTCAATGACGTGATTTCATAGTCTAATTGCACCAGCTAGGTAATGAAACCAAAAAATGCCTTACGGAATGGAGAACAAGCAGTGTACCCACACTACAGCACATGGATGTCACCAGTCAGCATGGAATGACCAGAATGTCATGGCTCTCTACCCTTTCTCCCCCTTTCCCTCAGATTTTCAATATGTGAATTTTGTTGCCTAATGTAAATACTACCCTTAATAAAAAAAAAAAAAGGAAGGAATTTTGTTTCCATACAATGACTGTGTTGCTTTTTCTCTAATCTTGTTATTAATAGTAGAAGAAGCCAGTCTCACCTGATGTTATCCATCCTCTACTTGCAAGGCTGCCTGTCACATATTTCCTTCAAGTGACTCAATGCAGCAAACATTTAAGTATGTACTTGCCAGTGCTGTGCTTGGGTGCCTGTCCTCAGGGAATTTACACCCTACTGCGTATGATTCTGAGCACTCTTCCTTATGGTTCCTCATGAGCTTTGAGATCTCTTTCATGCTTGGTTCCCAGGGTGGCAGAAATGTTCTCAGCTGTTTCTGATCAAAGTGGAGACAGTGATATTGCCCCCAAAGTATTCACTTAGAGTGAAGAATGTCTGTCTTGGTTCAGTGTTTGAATGGATCTGTGATCTCATCAATGGGTATTCCCAGTTCATCCCTGCCCTTCACCCGTCCTGAATGTCTCCAGTCCATATATCCATTCACCACAAGAAATCTGCTCATCGGTGTTGGGGGCCCTCAGATATAGCGAGGATCCTGGCAAAGCCTGTTGACTGACCATTGGGTGAAGCTTCCTGCCACATGATCAGCTCACCCCTCACAGAAAAGTACATACTGAAGCATGCAGGGAAATTCCTCCCTCCCATGTCTGATTTGTCCCCTCCTTAGTAAGTACGAGCTTCCTCCAGGAGGCCCAGCTTCCCCTTTTTAACAGAAGTCAAACTGTAGTGAAGTTCTGTGCTTTCCAGTGAGTTCAGCGTACTCCCCAAATGAGTGGTGTAGTGGACTTCTCTCTCCTACCTCCCCTGTACCCAACCCTACATCTTTTAAGGCCGTAGAGTCATGGGAACATACATAACCCCAATTCTTTCTCCATCACAGAACAGGACGTGTGGCCAGAGAGGGAAGCTCTGGGGGCTGTGCTTGGCATGTTCATAGATGAAAGAAGATAGGGAGACTCTGCTTGTCTAATTTAAGATATGACTTTAAGATAAGATAGAATTCTTCAAAAGCAAAGAAAAAGCCGCAATCCATTTTTAGATTGGAATCTCTGGAAACTGGAAAGAAATGATCAAATCAAAAAGCAATTACTGGGTTAAAAAAAACCATTTATTAAGCTCCTACTGGATGCAGTCACAGTCACTGAATTAGCAACCTCTTGTGCTCATCACCGGTGCACAGTTGCTAGGAATAATATTTCACAAAATGGTACAAAGAAGAACCTCAGTCTGGATGCTTGATGGGTGTTTTCTGCACCCCCTCCTCCATCTCAGGGATTTTCATTGCTACTGCAGTCTACATGAGGCCCTTCCTATTTAATATGTGTTTCATATTTATTAAGGTTTCTCTTTATAAATCAATTTCTTGGTGCTAAAATTGTTGACAATGAATGGAAATACCAGGGCCAGCGCCGTGGTTGGAGATAAGGACCATCTCCGGTGCAGAGCAAAGGCCAGGATTTGACGCAGAGGATTAAGGGGCTATTTTAATCTGATGATAAGACAGGCTTCATGATGGGGCAGAATAGCGTTTGTGCAGAACCAGAAACTTTCTGGGATACGTGGACCTAGATAAGCATCTTTTTGGAAAATAATTCTTGTTACACACGCATATGCCCCCACGTACACAGCCAGCTGGAAAAAGAGCACTTTTAACTTAAATGTTTGAACTCCTTGATGAAGAGCCCATACCCCCTCCCTGGGAGGTCTGCCCCTCCCCATCCCCGTCCCATGCGAACCTTCCCTGTTCTTCTGGGGTTAAAAAGTTCTAAATACATTCTTATTGATCTTTTGTTTTGACATCTCAGTTTCTACCAGGATTCCTCCAACTTCCCTCTTCCATGGCCATCCCATAGAACAAAGATATTTTTAAAGAAAAAATAGGAAAAAATCAGCAATACTGATCAGTAGACTGACAAAGTCTCAAAATACCTGCCACGTCCTTTCTCCCCACCCCACCATACCTCCCACCTCTTCAAAGGCGGAATCTTCTCATACAGTTTATTTGGAACCATGCCTGTTCTTTGTACTTCTGTTTTAATCTCAGAATTTCAGAATGGAATGGGGCCTCAATGAGATCCCCTTACGATGTTCCTGACCATCCTGGCTTCGCTTGAATATCTCCGGTGAAGGTGTACCCATTATCTCCCAAGGATGGTTTAGTTCCCCGAATAAAACTTAAATAGGGCTTCTGGATGCTAATAAAAAAAATTTCAAATAGAGTAAGCTTCTTAAGTGTAGGGGTTATTTTATACTTTTTGTATTTATATCCTTAGTCCCTAGCACAACGCCTGACATACAGTAGGTGCTTAATAAAGGCTTGTTGCTGACCACAGCCCCAATCTTTATTCCTTATGCCATATGTCTATTATGGTCAATAATGATCTCCCTTCCTTATAAACTTCCCACGGTAGCCACAGAATGGAAGAGACTTTCTTTTTAAAGTTGACTTCTATGAAAAGAGCCTCTTAATATAGAACAGTGTGCAGGATGCCCTCCCATAGCACTCTCTTGGAAGTCCATCCTACAGCCAAGATAGCCAAGATCTTCTGCTTACTGAGCCCTCATGAACAGGGCTGGGAAGGAACCAATCCAGAGCCAGCCCGCTCCACCCCAACTCCCATCCCAAAGCATCTGAGGCAGGGTGTGCTCAGCTACAAGAGGAATCCTCCCCAGTCTATGCCCCTGTTTTATTTAGATCTTCCCTCCTAGGAACTTTTGAGGATGTCAAGGTGTGCAACCTTAAAGACCTCTGGATTTGGAGGTGGGACATATGGGGTCCAGATCAAGCTGTACCACTTACTACTGGAGTGACCTTGAGCATTTTCTTTCCTCGTTGTTAGGATGAGGAGCCATGATTCAGTATAACGGTCCCAGTCCTGAATTCAAAATAAAAGGACCCAATCCTGCCCGTGTCTCTGGGCCAATGTCTTCTGCTCTTTGTAAAATCGGGTTTGGAATACTGTGGCTCAATGGAAACAGCCCTCGATTTGCAGTCAAGAGGACCTAGGTTTGAACCCCAATTCAGCTGCTTACTAGCTGTGGGACCCCAGACCTAGGCCTCAGTTTCTTCATCTGTAAAATGTGGAGCCTGGACTAGCTGCCCTCTGAACAAATGAGATGATATTTGTAAAGCACTTAATACAGTGCCTGGTGGAGGTGCTTAATAAATGCTTGTTTCTTTCCTCCCTTTCAGCCCATGATCCCTCCACAGCTTGCAGAGATAGGTTTAATGATCACTACACTAGAAACACAAGAATGACATTTTCATTGCCACTGTTTATGGCCAAAGCACAGTGCCCTCTAACAAAAACAGCCCAGACCTACAGTCTGACCTTGTGGAAGGTTGTGGGAGAAAGGACAGAGGTGGGTGAGAATGTCATTATACTCTCTTCCTGTCATAGGAAGGTATGAATCATGACTCACCCTGACCTACTTAGGGCATAATCATATTCAGCTGGAAGGGGCAACGTGTTTTTCTGGACCTCCTTGGCTAGGTGAGCTCATTCCTCAGGCGAGACATAACGGAGGCAGGGGTAGGGCCCATTCCAATCAACTCTCTGGCTCCAACCTCTCCCTGCATTTATTTATGGGACAGCTGAGACATCACAAAGGAGGCAGTTTAGGGTGATTCAGTAGTTTTAATTTTATGCATAATGCATTTATAGACAAGGTCATAGAGGAAAGAGCTGGAGAAGAATATCTTCCTGTTCAAAGGCATTGGTTAAAAAAAAATCATCATCATAACTACATTGTCTGCTCCCACAACAGGAAAAAGAATGTTTCCTCTTTCATTGTTCTCAACAAAGAGTATTTTTCCATTAAAGACACTTCAGTTTATCACGAGATGATTGCAAACAGGTGCAGGTGAGTTTCCACAAGGAATTAGCAAATGAAGGTTCACATAGTGTTTGGGTTCAGTCAGAGAAAGCACACATTGACACAGAATCAGAAACTGTAAATGGGATTTAGAAGTTGCATGAAATGATCAGCATTGGCTAAGAATAATCCAATTAATGGAGTTGCCTGGCCTCCATGGCTGAGAGAAGTGGGTCTGTGTAACAACTGTGTACCAGAGAGGCAAGACTTGAACCCAGATCTTCCCGACCCCAAGGCTGACTCTACTCACTAGGCCATGATGTCTCTCTTGGCATATGTACGTTCTGATAATTTCGTGTCTTCGCTCAACAGCCAAGAACTGTGTTATTGGGATCTAAGTGGAGTAAATGTCTGCATGTTCTGATGCAGGGGCTTCTTCACGGTGATGACCTCATACAGATCATTTGAATAATTCGTAGGTTTCACATTATAACCTTTACCACTCGAAACCTTTCATTTTATAAAAGCCGGGCTCTTTCCTCTCAAAATGGTTGGCTTGTCCTCGTCTGTGGCTGGTAAGCAGCCAGGTTCTAACTAGACAACAATCGAATTAATGTTGTCTTGGGCTGGATGATGATTGTGGCCAGCCTCTCTGCCCTTATTGGTTATGTCTTCTGAATCCAAAGATGGCTCCCACATCATAAATATGGTAAATTTGTCAACATTCCAAACTTTGGACTTTATTTTTAAAAAATGTCATGCCTACGATATCACTTCTCTCTCAGTGAACAGACTGGAGTTTATGAGCCTCCTCAAGCATTTTCCAAGAGACCTAAAGCCCCCATTAAGTTTTTGTTAGTTTGAAGTTGGGTTGTTTTGGTTTGGTTTTGTATTTCTTCAGCCACAGAAGGCAAAGGCCCAATCAGATCAGGCACAGAATTGTATAAGTAGTTAACTAAATATGCAAAACCATTCAGAGGGAGTAGCAGAAACATCAATGACTTAGCCTACCCAAATATAATTGCTTTTCAGTGGCCACCTTCCCATCACTCCTGGGGAAATGGAAATTAGTCAGGGGCTGTCCCCAGCGTGCATGCAATACGAGGTCCACATTTCCTCGTAACCAGCCTTATCCAAGAAACCAAACTTGCTCTGAGTCATTGAATCAGCATAGTGATGCTGGGCTAGGAACAGCATAGAAAGGGTTGGTCCAAATAACCTGCCAGAGCCTGCTCCGCCATTCTTTTGATCTGCCCAAGCAAGGTCAGTGTATAGTCTCAGCAGTCTTGTCTGTGGGGTCCAGGCATCAAGCTAGAGCAACAAGGTTCAGCTTTAGGATTATACCAGTAAGGACTTAAGCCACAGTAGGAATCAGGAGAACCAAATTTATTTTCTCAACATTCAAATCAGCTTGGTTGATACGGAGCAGATCTCTGAGTTCTCAATAGCGAAAGGTCTACTGGCCCCCCGTACCCATCATGAATTTGTAGAATTTCTCTCCAGGTTTTCTTAGTTTATTTAAGATACCCCATATTATATCATCACTCCTTCCATTACAGGGGTCCTTCACCTGGGGTCCATGGATAAATCTCAAGGGGTCCATGAATGTTTTTTAAAAAAATTTTATAATTGCCTTTCAATGTAACTGTCTTCCTTTGTGATTCTATATATTTAATTTTACACATTTAAAAATATGATTCTGCAAAGGGGTTCACAGGCTTCCCCAGACTGCCAAAGGAGTCTGTGGGGTCTAAGAACCCATAGTCTACAGCTCAACTCAAGAATGACCACTGAGATGTGGTACATCACCAAACTATCTCCACCATTCCTACCCTCTACTTCCACCAGTATATGGGAAGCCCATGAAAGCTGTTGTGGCCATGGAAACTAAACAGAAGTAGTCAAGGGTCTTATCCTGCTCTCCAGAGAGAAAATTGTACAGTTGGTAGCCCGCAGTGTGAAAACGGAGGCAAATTTATTGTTGTGTTTTTGTGGCCCTGCCTTCCCTCACTCTGAAAGAAGCACACCCCGCAGTCTGTGCTTTCTTTCACCTGGACAGCTCTCAGGCATCCATTCACTTGGAGTTAACATCATAAGATACAGAATTTGATAAAATAGCCATGCTTTTCAACCACCACAGGACTTTGGCTAACAGGTTTAAAGCAAGGAGCATATGTACAGAAGGAAGAAGGCTGGAGCTACAACATTGTGAAGGGTAGGTAACCTTCAAAGCTGTCCCAACTGTAGGGTCCTACCAACACAAGTGGTGCAAAGTAATCCCATCCCAATGGCCCCAGACCAGGTGCCCTAACTTACTCCTGTTCCCTTCATTCGTTGTTATATTTATCCGTTTCAGCTGATGATCATCTCATCACCCACTTAAAATTATGACCTTTTTGGGGGGACCATTTTAATAATAAATGAGGGCTTTAGAAAACACGTGTCAGTCCCTTCCCAGTCAAGCAAGGAAGGGGAGAGGGGACGCCTTGGTCTAAGAGCTTTCCCCATGTAAGCTTTTTGGGAGACGGCAGCTGAGAAGTGGGGAAACAGTGAGGAAAAAGAGTCAGACAGAGGAGAAGTCAACAATGTACAGCTAGCAGCAGGAAATAGACTACGCTGCAGGTAACCCACTTGGGAAGCCTTAAAGTGACTTGTAAATAAACACCAGCTATTCAGGAGACAGGGTCCAATAGCTGCCCTGCAGAGCAATGCTGGACCTCTCTAGCCCTCCTTGTACTCGGTCTTCATAGCACTGACCCAATCTGGGCACCCCTTAAGCTGGTTTCCAGGCGCTGTTGACAAATTGCTTTCTTTCACTTAATTCTACACGTGCAGAACGAATCAACTTAACTACCCTAACTGGCTGCTGAGATAATGCATACACAGGGAGAGTGCCTCCAAGTTTCCCAGAGAAGTGAGGGAATCTGGGCATGTAAGAACATCAGCTGATGCCTGCATGGTCACTGGCTGCTGGTTTTCCCCCTCTGCCTTGCATGTTGGCGGATTCCCAGCTTCTGTACGTTTGGAATCCTTCCATGGGGCCATTTAATTACAGTAACCTCAAGCTAGCCAGCAGCAGCTTGGTTCTGAATCATCTATATACATGACACCATCCAGGTGGAGAAGCAGCTGGCCTGCCGAGCTCTGTGCTGGAGGGGCTGTTTCAGCATCAATCCATGCACTGACTCAGCGCCTCTCAAATGTGTCCAGTTCCCTCTGAGACAATCGTGTGTGTGCCTCTCGCTCCTTAAGAGCCTTCCTGGAGACACACTGCAAGCACACTGACTAGAAGAAAAACATGCCTGTAGCTCCAGTCATCGGAACATGGGCCAGGAAGGTCCTCCTCTCATCCATCTGTTCTAGTGGCCCAGAAAAGCATTCCATGGGGTGTCAGCCAGCACACCCGCTGGAAAATCGTGGCCACACTGCTGACGTTCTCCTTGGACTCTACACAAAACAGCATGTGACCAGGCAAAGAAAAGCCAGTTTGTTAAACTTGAAACAGCTACTAAGAAGAGAGAAAGACTCTTTAAAGGTTTTGCTTTCGTTTTGCCTTCCTGAAAATTCGGCAATGTAAAGACTATCCTTCAGGGCTTGACAAGCGCTAATCTTCTTGGGAAAAGGCTAAGCGTGCCCATCATCACTGAAATAAGATAACAGCCACTTAATATCCACCATTAGTCATATAAAGCCAAAGATCAGGCTAGTGAAAAAAACGAATACTGGCTAAATCTTAGGAGGGCCGAGGGAGTTTCTTTCCAAGACCAAAAGCACAGAGTGTGAGTTAAAATTAGACTGGTTGTTTAGAAAAGGGGGCTGAAATATTCATCTTCTATTTTACTCAAAGAGGAGAGGGGATTGGTTTTGCTTGGAGTTTGGCCAAGTAGGGAGTTTCTAAGTGAGAGGAGAGAAAGGGTGGGCTTACTTCACTTAAAGAACTTAATCTCCGTGTCAACACAATCATAGAAAAGGTCGGCCACTTCAGTGGGGTCCATAGGGTCAGTGCTGCTCAGAATGCTTTCCATGGCCTCCAGCCCTTGTTTCTCCAGGTCCAACATGGTCTCCATGAGCTTGTGACCTTGATCCTGAGGAAAGAGACACAGGGTTATGGTGCGTCATAACCAACCACATGGAAAACCTCTCTGTGCAGTTGATCGGCTGCCTTGCCGCTTTGAATATGGTAGAATTGTGGAATGAAAAGGGAAGGGGACCTCAGGCATCATCTCATCATGAATAGACAGGGTTCAAAGGATTCTCGCTCCACAGCTGGAAGGGACCTTAGAGGCCTTCATTTGACAAGTGAGGAAACTGAGACAGGGACATGGAGTAGCAAGGCCTAGACCTAGGACTGGAAGGAATCTCAAAGGCTGCCAAGCCCAGGCATCTTATTTTACAGATGAAGAAACTGAGGCCCAGAAAAGTTGGCTGAGTTGTCCTGAGTCACATAGCCACTGCATAAATGAGATAATATTCAAATCATCTTTCTCTTCCTATTGGTACAAATACACCAAAGAAAGGATCATGGACTTAAAGCTCAAAGGGACCGTGGATGTCACCTAGTGCGACCTCTTCTCGTCTATGAGGAGACCAGGGCCCAGAGATGATCTCCAGAGGCGAAAAGTGGTTTGCTGAAAGTCGTACTCGGAGTACGTGGAAGGGCCTAGACGCAAGTTCTGACTACAAATCCCATGCTTTTTCCACCATGGTAGGATACACATACCCCATTTTACACTAGATCTCTGTGATAGAAAACCTGCCCAGCTCTTAACAAAAGAAGTAAATTGCATATTTCCTAAACCTCAAGGGGCATGAGCAACCTTAATAATGTCCCATATCCTGGGGAAAACTGGTTGGCATGTCTTATTGATACTAGTTAACAACAGCTAGGTTGGTTCCCTCCAAGTCTGTTATTTTTGGAGGAAGAAGGCTGGCCTCCCAGCCTCCAATCCCATCCATTCTGTTAATAACAACAGGCAGGGATGGCTAGCCATGCTGTGGGCGTCTCTGGGGGTAGGCTTACTAGGGAATGTTCAAGTCTGAATTGATGCTTTGGAACTCTGTGTGAAGAACTAAGATGGTGGTGGTGGGGAACAGGTGTGTGTATTTGGATTTATTCAAATAGCACAACATTGTAATTCTTATTATTAGACTATTCGTGGCAAGTGTGTATTTTCACCTTAATGCTTATAAATAACTTGTCTTTGGTGAAAAGCAAGAGATGAGATTTCTAAAAAGAATTCCATCCTCATTGAAGAGGCAGTTTTTGACAAAATGAAGCCACAAAGGGAAGAAGGCTATTCATAAGTCAAATGGAATCTCAGGACAACATTTTAGTGGGAGACTTTGTTTCTGGTTTGTTGCAAAAGACTTTGATGGAAAAATGTAACAGCAACCAAGAATCTGCTGAAAAGTAAAGTGGCAAGTCTGAGAAGGTTCTCCGGGAATGTGGATGACCAGGAGCAAACCTCAGAGATCAGGGTCACCTTCCTACACGTGCTTCCCGTGCCCACCCCTGCCCCTAGACAAGGGGGAAGGGCCCATGTTTCCCGCCCTCTCCCCTCCCACGCCGCACCTCACCTCATCACTCTCAATGACAGCCCGAGCCCACTCGTGGGCTTTATAGAGCTCGTGTCGGCGGTCAGGCTTCTCCAGAAAACGGGGCTCCTTTTTGGCGGGGTCATCCTCCCCGAAGCAGGGAGACTGGACTTTAGGGACAAGCTTTACATCGTCCACAAAAATGAAGGGCTTGAATATGGACCTGGAAGGGGAGGAGAGGTTTTTTCAAGCAAACAAAAATATTTAATACGAAAACATTTGAGTTGGCTTTCCTTCAATGACATCTTGCTGTTAGGCACCAATGATTGTTATAGGGCAGCTGCAGCCTAGACAAGCAGGTTTGGAGGTGCTGCCTCCTGAACATAAAGGTGGAGGGAACTTAGAGCCATCTAGTTCAGTTCTATACTCCCATTGTACAGATAAAGAAACTGAGACCCAGAGAGGTTATTCATTATATCCAGTCACACAGATAATAAAAACAGCTGGGTTTCATAGAACAGAACTTTAAAGCTAGCAGAGGGTTTTAGAAATTGTCTGCTCCAACCACCTCATTTTATACGTGCAGAAACTGAGGCCAGAAAGACCCCTGATCACAGGTAAGAACACAGATTTAGGGCTAGAAGAGATCCTCTCATTTTACAGCCAAGAAAAGACAGCTAGGGGGCACCATAGTGCACGGAGCTCTGGACCTGGAATCAGGAAGACCTGAGTTCAAATTCAGCCTTGGACACTTCCTAGCTGTGTAACCTTGGGCAAGTCACTTCACCTCTGTTTGCCTCAGTTTCCTCATCTGTAAAATCAGAATAATAACAGCACCTACTTCTCAGGGTTGTAATGAGGATTAAATAATATTTGCAAAGCACTTAGTATAGTGCCTGGTGTGTAGTAGGTGCTATATAAATTCTAGCTATTATTAAGAATGACTGGCAGATAGGCGGCGCAGTGGATAGAACAGGCCTGGTGTCAGAAAGACCTGAGTTCAAATCTGGTCACAGACGCTTACTAGCTGTGCGACCCTGGACAAATCATTTGATTCTGTTTGCCTCAGTTTCTCTCATCTGTAAAATGAGCTGGAGAAGGAAATGGCAAACCACTCCAAGTAATCAGCCTCAGTAGCATCAATACATTTGTTTCCCAGCTAGAGACCTTGACAGAACCCACAAGCCTGTCCCCTGCCTTATGTGAATATGGCCAACGGGGGGGGGGGGGCACAAAGTCAGACAGGACTGAAATGACTGACCAATAACAACAGTTACTCAGAAAATTGAAATTGAGTGGCTTGCCCAATTGACTTGACGACTGACGAATGAAAGAAGGGGAAAAGTCAGAATTTGAATTCAGATCCTCCAGCACCAAATCTGTCCCTCTTTCCACTGTCATGCTATGGCTTCAAACCCAGAGTTCTCTCTCATACCATTCACTGCCTTATTATGCTGGTAATAAGATGGTGTTTCTGCCCTCAGAGAGTTTCATGCCAATCCTCTTAGACCCTCTAGGGAGGTGGGGATTTTCAGCCCTAACGATCCATCCATTCACTCAGCAAATGTTTTTAGAATGCTAAGATTCAGTGCGTTGCTCTAGGGCGCAATGGACAATGTGGAGAAGTGGAGGTCCTGTGTCCTTGCTCTCTATGAACCACAGTCTAGTGGAGGAGACAAGACTTAGACAATAGACCCTGAACAAAACCCTAAAGGCAAAGCCCTAATGGTCTTGGAGGCAGCACAGCATAATAAACAGGTCCAGAGTGGAAATCCTACCTGAGACATTTACTAATTGGGCGATCCTGGGCAAGTCACTTAACTTCTCTGTCCCTTAGTTTCCTCATCTATAAAATGAAAGGATGGCCTCTGAGCTCCCTTCCAGCCATAAATCTATAATCCTGTGGTCCAAGTCAAGTCAACAAACATCTATCAAGCACCTACTATGTGCGAGGCACTGTACTAAGTACTGGGAATACAAAAAAAGAGGGGCAAAGGTAAATGTCTGCTTTCGAGGAGCTCACAGCCTAGTCGGGGAGACAATATGCAAACAGCTATTTACAAATTAGATATATGCCGGATAGATAGAGGAATACATAAATACACAAAAAATCGAGTACATAAATAAACAATCCATTTCAGAGGGCAGTCACTAACAATAAGGAGGGCTGGGGAAGGCTGCTTAGAAGGGGGAGGTTTAGCTGAGGCTCGAACAAAGCCGGTAGGCAGAGAAGAGGGGAGAGAGCTTGGGGACAGCCAGGGAAAATGCCTGGAGTCAAGACATGGGGTGTTGTGTTTGCGTACAGCAAGGAAGCCGTGTCACCAGACTGCAGAGTGCATGGCAGGGGAGAAGGTGGGAGGTGACTGGAATTCTCCTTCTCGCCTGCCCTCTTCCCCTTCCCCAACCTCACAGATTGGACCTTAATACCAGGCCAGTCACCCGAGTCAATGGTAGGAAAACCACACTTCCATCCTTTAAAGGTCAATAAGAAGAACATTTTTTCTTTTGGTTGTCAAAAACAAATCCTGCCAATAATCAAGTCCATTTGTTCTCTTCCATTGGAGTGGATGGAGAATGGCACAAGAGTCCACATATCGAGCTAGAGAAATTGATTCTCCAAACAGATGGAAATCGGTGAGTGTCAGCAAGAACTGCTTTCACTGTGTCCCTCCAAGGACTCCAGGAGCCTGTGAGATACTGAGAGAAGGGGGCAGACAGAGGTCCAATGCCACAGGCAGAGGCATACAGCTGGAAACTCCCTCCTGCTGGCCTGGACCAGCTACTGCTTCACCCTCAAACCCTATACCCCTGGTGCAGCTGCTGTACAGCAAGCATCATCTGTCAGTGCCTAGCAGCAGGAAGTCAGAGAGACACAGAGAGAGACAGAGAAAGACAGAGACAGAGAGAAAGACAGAGAGAAGGGGGGGGAGGAGAGAGAAAGAAGGAGGGGGAAAGAGAGAGAAGGGAGAGAGAGAGAGAAGGGAGGAGAGAGAAAGAAGGAGGGAGGGAAGAGAGAGAAGGGGAGGAAGGGGGAGAGAGGGAGAGAGAGAGAGAGAGAGAGAGAGAGAGAGAGAGCCACTGCAAATCAATACAGATGTCATATCAATGAACATGAACACTGAAAGCATGACAGCTGTCCCAGAAACCCCAGACAGCAGTGGGCTTCATCCAGTACAGGCAGCCCTGAAGCTCCACTGCTCCAGGGTCCTGCCTTGGGCAGAATCCATTGAGGGGATCTCCTCCCTCATTCCCTCCATGTCATACAGAGTCTGTCCTACAGAAAGCCTGCAAGCCATTGGTGACCCTCAGCATACTACCCTCTGAGCTGGTAAAGAGAAACAATATACATAAAGAACATAAAAGGGGAAGGGGGAAGGGAAGAAGGATTTAAGTACCTACTATGTACCAGACACTATACTAAAGTGCTTAATAGATATCTCATTTTATCCTTACAACACCCATTACTAGCACTCATTTTACAGCTGAGGAAGCTGAGGCAGACAGAGATTAAGTAACTTGCCCAAGGTTACACAGCTGATAAATGTCTGAGCTAGATTTGAACTCAGGTCTTCCTGACTCAAGGCCCAAAGCTCTACGCACTATGGCGCTCCCCAGCATCTTTTCTTGACTGTAAAGGGAGGGGGTTGGATTGGATAATCTTCCTGGGCCTCAGTTTCCTCATCCGTAAAATGACTTTGTGAAATAGATTCTGAGATGCACCTAGCTCTCAGCAGAGACATCCTAGGGGTATTAGAAGCGGAGATGCTGGCTGCCTGCCTCACACAAATGCTGGGCTGGTTAGCGATGACACCTAGGAAGCATGGGCTCTTCATGGCTGACTATTAAAACAAAAGAGGTTGTTAAAAGTATTATATTTGTTTTGTGGTTTGTTTTTTTTTGGCTAGGCAATGGGATTAAGTGACTTGCCCAGGGTCACACAGCTAGTGAGTATTATGTGTCTGAGGCCAGATTTGAACTCGGGTCCTCTTGACTCCAGGGCCAGTGCTCTATCCACTGCACCACCTAGCTGCCCCTAAAAGTATTCTATTTGGCCGGGGACTCTGGCCCCCAAGACCCTTGTCTCACAGTAAGGTTGAGGGCAACCAGGTCCCACAGCCTAAGATCCAGACAACAATGGCACCAGCCAGCCTGGTTTTACCTCCTAGATTTCTGGAGCTGGTTCCTGACCTGATCTCTTTCAACTTCCAGTTGCCCTCACAATCAGTTCCAAGAAATGGCATTCGATGCTTTTGGAACCCCATGACAGATCAATCACCCCTAGCCCTGACACCAGTGGAGAAGAGCCTCTTGTTTTCCAAGAATTCATCTTCTTTGGGTGATCGGAGAGGCAGCATAAGATTAATGCTCCCTGATCATTTCTATCACACTTCAAGGTCTGTGAAGGGAATATACGTACATCTGCTCTGCGCAGCAAACATGAGAGATGGCCGGGACAGGTGTTCTTACGTCCACTGTGCACTGAGGAAGGTGGGGCTCAGATTGAGTAAAGCAGGCTTAAGGCCAAGCATAGGTTTACAGATTTAAAGGTGGAAAGGACCCAAAGGAATCTGTCATTTTACAGATGAGGAAACTGAGTCACAGAGAGGGAAAGTTACACATCTAAAAAGCGATAAAGCCAGAATTTTCTTCTATATGTTCTGACTTTGGACCTACAATCCCCTTCATATGCTGATACACCATCTCTTGCCCCCAAAGAAGAAGAAAGAACAGCTTTGGGGTCAGGAGGCAAACAATCTAGTTTGGCTGGAGGAGTGCTATGGGAAAAGGCTGCAAAGGTATCTGAGAGCACAGGGCCTTGAATGCCAGGCTAAGGAGCCCACACTGACCACTACAGACTGGCCCGAGGTCTAAATTTTGTGAGAGATGGATCAATGAATACATTTCTGAGAACTGCAGGTAAAATGAAGCTGTGTCATTTCGAATTCTACTACCTATGTGACCTTGGACCAGTGAGCTGAGCTTTGTAAGCTCCAGTTTGCTCACCTCTAAAATGGAGGGGTTGGACCACAGGACCTCAGTGATTCTTTCCAGCTCTAAGTTTGTGATTTAAGGTAAAAGTATCAACTGTTTTTTAATCACTAATCTTTATCATGTTGAAAAGACCGTGTGATAAATGGTAAGGAAATGATGAATCAATAACTAGGACCTGCCTTGGATACTTCCCGAAAGACTCTTTCCCCTCTGCCATCAAGGTCTAGCATA